GGCTTACAAATTCAGCTCCAATTTGTGATTTGATTTTGTTTTTTAAGAACTGCTAGTAGCATTTAGCATACCCTCTGAATACAAAATCTTCAGACTTCAAACCCTGGGAGGTCTGTCAGTTTAATGCTCGGGCATAGGTGAGAAATCATGGTAGGGGGCAGAGAAGGAAGCAATGAAGAGGAATGAGACGGAACCAAGAAGTCGTGGGTGTCCCCAGCCGTGCCCCACTTGGGAAATACCAGTGTCAGCAAATGGTTCAGGGATCAAAGCAGGTTTGGGGTGGTAGGTGCTCCTACCATTCGTCTACGGCCAGATGGCCCTGTTCATCCTGGGTCCTTCCCACCTTCCTGCCAGTGCCCAGAGATCAAAACTCAACCTTCTCCAACATTCTGTGACCTGCTTCTTTAATGCTGAGATCAAAGGGGAACTTTTGTCCAAGTTGTAAAAGAGAAACCAAGAGGCAACTTAATGCCATCTCTGCCTTCTCTGGACTTCCTGAGGGGATTAAGGGCACTCCTTTAAAGGGATTCCTCAGAGAAACACATTTGTACCAAGGCCTGGTGTCGGCGCCTCAGCTCCAAAGACGCAGTGACTCCTGCAGAACGTGTGCCAGGTGGGGCAACTCGAGAGAGCAGACAACACAACCAACAGACAGCCGCTTGGGAAGACCACAGGGATTATGGTCATGAAAAAAAAAATCAATCTGATTTTATAGGCATATTAGCAAAAATCACCTTAAATACAAGTACTGTAAACCACAAAATTTTCAACCAAGACTTTAGAAATCCTCAAGTCTAAATCTTAATTTCACATATGATGTGTGTTGAAACAAACCAAAAAAGCCAAAATAATCTGCCCCAGGCTACACGGTGGATCAGTGGCAGTGCTGGGACTAAGCTCCGGCTGCTGACTCCTGCTCCAGTGCTCTTTCTTCAATGGGCCGATGCCCATCCACATGTGAGGCCCAGGGGAGACAGCAACTTGCCACACACAGGACTGGTAGCAGAGTCCAGGCCTCCTGCCTCTTGTTCCAGGCCTCTATCATCCAGATTCCATCACTAAAAACGGCTCCTGTGCTTCTGACTGGGTTGGGGGGGTTGGTGTGGGACGGGACGGGGGGGGGGGGGGAACTGGTTAGCACTGCTTCCATCTGCTCAAAGGAACCCTGAGGTCATTCAGGCCATTCCCCTGCCTCTGGACTGGATCAAACCCAAGTAACCTCAAAACAGTGAGAACTGACCCAGCAGTTCCACTCCTAGGTATATACCCAAGAAAACTGAGAAGCTATGTTCACGCAAAAACTTGTACACAAATGTTCATACCAGCGTTATTTGTAACAGCCAAAAAGTGGAAACGATCCCAAAGTCCACCAACGGATGAAAGGATAAACAAAACGAGGTCTATCCATACAATGGAATATTATTTGACCATAAGAAGGAATGAAATATTGATACATGCTACAACATGGATGACATTTGAAAACATTATGCCATGTTAAAAAAAAAAAAAGTCAGATACAAAACACCACATATTGTTTGATTCCATTTATATGAAATGTCCAGAAAAGAAAAATCTATACAGACAGAAAGTATATTAGTGGTTGCCAGGGACTGGTGGGAAAGGGGGAGTGGGAAGTGGCTGCTAATGGGTTTCTTTATGGGGTGATGAAAATGTTCTGGAAGTAGATAGCAGTGAAGGTTACACAACTTTGTGAATATACTAAAAACCACTGAACTTTAAACTTTAAAAGGGTGAATTTTATGGTATATGAATTATAATCCAATAAAAAGGGAAAAAGATAAAACCCAAAACAGTATAAACAATGATTATGTGAGAGAAATACACAGAGTTTTATTCTCCAAATGGAGGTTTCTAGACTCCTGAGATGCCTACAAATTCACTCAATGGACATTTCCCAAGTTCCACGAAAATAACATTCCCCAAAGCATATTCCATATGATCAAGAGTTCCAAAAGGAGTGAGACATGAGCCTGCTTCTCACCTCAGACCCAGCTAGATCAACTCAGTATCCTGTAACTTTATAGAGTCGTCTAAATCCAGGGCAGGAGGAGGCAGGAAAACTAAAGAGCACTTCAGTTTACACCAGCCACCTACTCCTATGCTGCAGGAAGTTCAGGAAACCCCATTGTGCTAACACAGACCTGGGAGGTGGCAGCCAACCCCTGGGGAAGAAGAACCAATCGCTAAGGAGGGGAAGGGGGAAAAACACATAAATACCACTTGAAACTTGCGTCCACAACCCTAACTTGCAAAACAAAAGAATAAACCAAAACCCAGCATGTTCCGAGGGTCAATGAATCTATTAGCTCACTTCCTCCTTCGTTGTATGACTTGCCTCAAAACCCAGAGACCCCAAAGCAGATCCACACACTTCCATCCCCGACAGCTGTGCAACAACCTATGTGTATGAGGGTGTGGGGACTGTTCTGACTTGCGTGTAATAAAGTGCTTAACACAGACCAAGCTCAAGTCCATCTGCCCACTCTGCCTGTCACACATATCCCCCTGTAATAAACTTGCTTCCATGCCTTTCACCATTGCATCAAACGTCAAGTTTCTCATGTGCACTCTTTAAAATGGCCTCTGTGGGTCACTGTATACATTACATCCTCAGTTTCTTGAAATCAGTTACAATATTCACCATGAAAGCACAGGACGACACTCCCAGGTGACACAACAAACACGAAATCACTGTGCTTTCCACTGTGCTTAGAATAAAATCCAAACTCCTTTCCATTGTTTCTCTGCAGGCTGAGAACAAGCTGGCTCCCTTAATGTAATGTTCTGGAGAGGATAGGAAGGTGAAGCACCTAACAGAACAGTCTTTCAAAATGCAGTCCACAGACTATAAACTGTAGACTACAACCCACCACAATTATAGGCATGCTTCTAGAAACACAGCTCTTCCTGCCTCTCTCCATTTCACCTTGTATCATTCTCTGCACCACACCCTGACTCCTCACCATGTTTCAGTCCCTCCAGCCTTCTGTGTTCCTCAAACATACTCT